GACGAGGGCGATCAGCACCTTCCTTTACCAATGGCTTATGGAACTCACGTCTGCACGAGAGTGGATATTTGCCCAACAAAACTCACAGTAATACTGCAGGCAAGTGACATTGGCACAGAAAAAGGGAGCAAATTTTCCACCACAGCGTGCGCCCTGGCATTCATCACACATCTGGTCATCCAGCACATATGGCTTTACCTCCACCTAGAAAAAGAGAGAGGGAAAAAATGTCTTATTAGGGTCTGCTTCAGAAATAAAATTTATTAATAACTTAAAATGTTTCTACACTGATCTCAAACCAGGTGAAGTGGGAACCCAAGTGAGGCCCAAGTTTTACCTGTACAATGACCATTTGTATACCTTACCCTGAACTGTACCTCATATCTTTAAAATAAAAATTAAAAAAAAAACATTAAAAAAAAAGAAGTAACTTCTTTGAAATGTATATGCGCTGCTATTTTCAGAGGTGGTGGTGACTGTGAGTGAGAAGCAGACGGGATGTCAAATAGTCAAGGACGACAAATGGCTTTTTCACTTCCCTCTTTTAAACACCATCTGTAAGATGGTAGAACATGAATAGCCACTGATCAAGGTGGTGCTTCTCTACTGCAGGTAAGAGTCACACCTGCTTGGAAATAATTGGCACAGACAATCCAACCAGAACTGTGGATAATCTTATTAAAGGACATGTCTAGACTTCTGTGAATTTATAAGAGGTAAAGGAGAAGTTCCGCTGTGAAGGCCTGACTCAGCAGAAGACTTCAGTCTGGAGTCAGTTCTGAGCCATAAACCTCTCAATCTCAGTTTCCACATCTGTGATGTGAGAATAATAGAACCTCTCTCAGAGTTGTGATGATTAAATTATGCATGTAAAAACATAAGATAGTGCTTGGCACATGTTAACACATTTTGTAAGTTAGTGTTAGTTACTCTAAGCTGTGGTAGCTATGCTTTCTTGCTTATAATAACTTTATGAGTGGAAGGTTATTACTTATGTCTGGCTGAATAGTGCCAGACAGTTTAACATCTCAGTTGTTCCTTAGAAAAGTACAGAAAAGTGAGTGTTTCGAAGGAATGGATTTGAGATAAAGGTTTGCCCATGGTAAAAAATAATGACTCAATAATTTCTATTCTAAATGTATTAACAATAAATATTGAAATACTTGCATATGTGTACAAAATTAATATATAAGCATATTTTCTGGAACACTATTTGCATGAATAACAACAAACTGAAACAACCTAAACATTGATGAGAAAAACTGTTAAGATGAAGGTAATGGAATTAAACATTGCTGCTTGTATTTCATTAATTAGGATTAGAATATTTTCTGTATATTGTACATTTAAATTGCCTGTTTCTATAACTTTTGCATATTTTCTTCCTATTGGAGTTTTCTTTTCTTTTTTGAGTTAGAATCACACTCTGTCACCCAGATTGGAAGGCAGTGGCACGCTCACGGCCACCGCAGCCTCAAATTGCTGGACTCAGTCGATCCTTCCACCTCAGTCTCCCAAGTAGCTGGAACTACAGGCATGTGGGCTCAGGCAATTCTCTCACCTTGGCCTCCCAAAGTGCTGGGATTATAGGCGTGAGCCACCACACTCAGCCTTGGAGTTTTCTTTTAAAAAACTAACTTAAGTTCCCTTTGCCATTTAAGAATTTCTAACTTCTTTCCATTAACTTTTGACTTTTAAAGCAATCTTTAAGACAAATTCTAAGATTTTTATGCTCAATTTTTCTCTCAACTTTTTCCTTTATGGATTACATTTTTTCCTTGCCAGGATACTAGTTTTGATTCATTATCCTTATTATAACTTTAATTTTTAAAAAAGCATTTCTATGACCAAAGAACAAGCAGAATAAGAATTATAGATTTCATCTCATTGGACTATAAACTCCATGAGCAAAGAGACAGCATCTACTTGCTCCCCATTCAGCTCCCCATATCAAGCAGAATATCTGGCACAGATATTCTCTATAAATATGGGAGTGAATGTGGTATATTTACATATGTTTTCTGGGTTTCTTTCTCATGGTTATTTCTTGTTGTTTTTTAATTTTGTTTTGTTTTTTGAGTCGGGGTCTCACCCTGTTGCCTAGGTTGGAGTGCAGTGGCATGATCACAATGATCATGGCTCACAGCAGCCTCGACCTTCTGGGATCAGGCAATCCTTCTATCTTAGCCCCTCAAGTATCTGGGGCTATAGGCACACACCACCATGCCTGGCTAATTTTTTGAAATTAGAGATGAGGCTCTGTTATATTGCCCAGTTTGGTCTCAAACTCCTTGGCTCAAGCAATCTGCCTGCCTTGGTATCCCAAAGGATTATAGGTGTGAGTCACAATGCCTTGTCTGTTTCTTGTTTTTATCATAACATTTTAGGCAAATTGAAGCTAGGGTATGTGATGTTTACTTCACCTCAACAATACTTCATAAAATGCACTGTGCTTAGGAATTACCTAATGAAAAACTACTGAATAAAATTTTATATATGCAATGATTTCAATTATTTGTATTTTTAAAATTCTAGTTTATGAAGATAATCTATAACTCAAAACCATAGATTTTAGGATGGAAAGCTAAATTTTAAAACCTATTTCTCATCAATAATCTCTAACAATTAATGTGTGAAAGGAAGTTTCATCGATGCTTCACCTAGTCTTATTTATTATTATGATGTCTTTTCCTTTTTAATTTCTGAGAATCCCTATTGGTAAAGTTTTGTCAATTAATAATTATCAAACTTGAAATATAACCCAATCCACTTTAATATTTATAAGAAGTTACAGTAAATTATAATACTCAGGGATACACATTTGTGGTGACTGTGTATGAGAGAGACAGTGCCTATGAGTTTGAAAAGTAAGCCGAACAATTTTTTTTTTTTGAGTTTGAGTTTGAGTCTCACTCCGTTGTCCAAGTTTGAGTGCAGTGGCATAATCACAGCTCACTTTAGCCTCCAACTCATGGGTTTAAGCAATCCTTCTGCCTCAGCTTCCCAAGTCACTGAGACCACAGGCATGTGCCACCATACTCAGCTAATGTTTTAATTTTTTGTAGAGAGGAGGTCTTGCTATGTTGCCCAGGCTGGTTCTGAACTCGTGGGCTCAAGCGATTCTCCCACTTCCACCTCTCAAAGTTCTGAGATGACAGGTGGGAGCCACTGCACCTGGCTGAACGATTTTAACTCCCTCCAAATAAGTTTTTAATTCCCTCCAAATAAGTATGCTATATATTTTTGGGTTGAGAGTTATACATTTAAGTTTGGCCCACTTTTGTAGTTTAACAATTAATTATATTCATAATGGAAATATAAAAGGTAAATAAAGATTAATGGTCTAATATTTCTTTGTATACTAATGACTTACAAAATATTTAGAGCTCAAGTTCTTTTAAATAAAGTTGAAAATTACCTTTATAGCATATATCTTAGAAAATAAACTTTTCTCTTAGGTATTTCAATGCCTTGAATGTACATGTTTCTCAATTCACCTGCTTTGTACTGAGTTGCTCTTTAAGTCAATACTCTGCTCCAAATAACTGGTCCTTCATTATCATTTTGGAAACAAAGAGGTCTGAGGTATGACACTGCAACAACTTTTTTCTTCTGCTGTGCATATTAAACAACCATGATTATATACTATATAAATAACTTTCTTTGTGACCTATCACCTCTCAGCAAAAGTGAGGGGAGGTTAGACTAGATCAGTGGTCTAAATTGTTGCTGTACATTCATGATACTTGGGAAGCTTTTTAAACTGCCACTGCCCTGGTTGCATCTCAGTTCAATTACATCAGAACCTAAGGGGATGAGCTGGAACACAGACGTCAAGGTTTTTCTAAGTTCCTAGGTGACTAATGTGCAGCTGAGGTTGAGATTCACAGGACTAGAGGAACTGTCAAGTTCAAACCAGTTCAGAAAGTTTATGTATGTACAACTGAGTAAAAGCAGAGACTCTCTCCTTTGATACTTTTTTCCTTCTTTTTGGGCAACATTTTAAATAGAAATGTAACCAAAAACCCACTCTGCACTGTGAAATGAACCTATACTACACTTCTTTTCTAAATGGGATGGCTTGGTAATTACACTGATAGCTACTTCTACAGAACATAGTCTAGTATTATTTAACTAGCTTCCCCCTCGAAATAGTCTTTTAATGTGCCAAACAGCCTCAGAAGAGACTTAAAGAAACTGTTACACTGGAAAAATAAGTACCCGCTCAAGTTATATCTACTAATTTGGATATAAAAAATTCATTTATCCCATATTCTTAATATATCTCAGCTATACTATAAATGTAAACATGGTTATTTTAGAATATTGGTTAGCGAGGTATAGAAATTATTTACAAATTTCAGTATGAAATAAATTTACAAGTGAACATGAGTTTTGTTCAATTCTTTCCCCTATTTTAGATGGTAATCTGCACTCAAAAGTATTCTATTAATAGAGTGGCTTTCAGTTATCATTCCTAGGACTTCTTAAGTTTTTACTGTGATGACCTACGAAAGAGAATGCTACTGAAGGGAAGGGAAAACATTTTCTCTTCTCTAAAAATAAAAATAAAAAAATAAAATAAAGTTTAGGTCAATTATTTTAGGTAAATATTCACAGTGTATTGTTATTTTAGATTTGATGACACAAACTAACACTGAGCCAAGTTCTATTCTAAGTGCTTGCAAATTCATTTCCTCCTCAAAATAACTGAGAAAAGCATATTACTATGGTTTTCTACTTAATAAGTGACAAAAAAAGAGCCATTGAGAAGATTAATTTGCCCAGGATTACAGAGCAAATGGTGGAGTGTGATTCAATCCCAGGAAGTCTCCAAAATACGAGTTCTTAAAAACAAGCTCTGCCTCTATGGTTAGAAAAATATTTGGACTTTATTGGCTGATAAAAAACTTTGACATGACTGTAAAATGGCATTTACATTTTTATATTATACTTAAAGTTTAAAGAATGTTCAAGAGTTACATTTCAAGGATATCTTCATATAATACCCACTAACTCTAAGAATTTAAGGAGCACAAAAAATTAAACAGCATTTGAATTATATTATTAGCGCCTCAAGGAAGTAACCTTTGAATCATCCCCTTATTCTAGGACATAAATGATTTTCCAATATGCAACTTACACGCTTATCAATATCACCATGCTGAAGCTGAACAAACCGAGCACTAATGGCAGCAATATAGCTCTGCTGATTGGAGAAAGCAACTCGTCCAGCACCTTTTGGGTATTTTAGCTCGGGATCTGTATCAATTCCTGCATAACAAACTCCGCCATACAGCCGGTCCATGATCATAGCCAGCTCCACTTCAAAAGGAAAAGAAGTTCACATCAAATGTGAGCAAACAAAGTCAATCAACAAATTTAAGTACCTTTTTTGTAAAGGGCAAAAATCAATGGGATACTAACATTTGACCAGGAGTAGGATAGCACACAAGGGGCAGTTGTTAAAGGAGAGAATGGAATCAAGGCTTTTTTTAAAAAAACATTTTTAAGTATACAGGTACCACATCGACCTACTTATCAGCACTAAGCACACTACACATTCTGTCTTCTGTCCTGGTATTACAGAGAAATCACCCCATACTATTTTCTAAATCTAATCCTTTCACTTGTATATACTACAGCCCATCTGCTCTCATTGTGAAAGGATACTGCTGCAACAATTCTCCCCTTTCCCTTCTGTACCATCAGTTTTCCCCTTACAATGGATCATTCCCAAGTAAACTGTAATCTGTTCCATCTTAAAAGAAATCTCATAACTCTATTTCTCCCTCTCAGCTACTGCTTCATTCCTCTGCTCCCTTTTACAGCCAAATTCCTCAATATTATTTCCTGTATTCCCCAATCCCTCTCCTTCCATTCTTTATTCAGTCCTTTATAATCAGACTATCATACCATGACTCTAACTGCTCATGCCAAGGCTACTTTTCCCAGTGCAAGTTCAATACTCAATCTACCTGTAAGCAGCACTGAACACAGTGAATCCCTTCCTTCTCTTTGAAATATTTTCTCCATCTGGTTTTCAGGATCCATTTTCTACTAATTCTCCTTTTGCCTCACTGATCATTTATTCTTAGTCTTCCTTGATAGTTTATCCTAAATTCCTTGACTTTTCAACATAAGAATGTCCCAAGTTCCCGTCCTTGTAATTCTGTCTACCTTCCTGGCTTTGGTGACTTCAATCTGTTTCATGGTTTTAAACACCATTTATGTTTTAAAGCTCCTAAATTTTTATCTCCAGTTTGGACCTCTCTCTTGGACTCCAGACTCATATAAAATTGTCTACTGGACAACTCATATTGATACTCTGCAATACTCAGTGTGTTAAAAATGGAACTCAATCTTCCTCCATCCCATTAGACCTGCTCCAATGAGTTTTTGCTGATCCAGTCAGTAAGCAACTGGAAGGATGAAGTTGCCAGGTCAAGATTTTTGGCTTTTTCCTTTGTTTTCTGTCCCAGCCACCAACACCCCTCCACTGCATATGCAATCCTGTGAACTTGATTTTCAAAACATATCTAGAATACAATCTCCTTCCCTTCATCTCTAACATTCTGCTTCAAGCGAACATTATTTTTCATCTAGTTCATGGCATAACCTTATCCTGTGACTTTTGAATCTTGCCTCAAGTGTTCCCAAACAGTAGAAAGAATGATTGTCTTAAAAAATAGACTAGATGCCACATGATTTTATAGAATTTCTATTTGGGAGCTCTGAATGGTGCCACAAACCTGTGTTTAAAACCAAGGCCACAGTATTTCCCCCACAACCAGCTCCTCCAGTTTTCCTTCTATCTCGATAAAAGGTACCACTATCCACCTAGTGGCTTAAGACTGAAAGTTGAGATTCAGTCTTTGCATTTACCTCATAAATATCTATTACACTTGTATTACCTGACTCCTGTTTAACTTTGCGAATGTCATCTCGTGTCTCTTCCCTTACTTCTTGTATCCCCACAATCAGCCACTGTGGGCTTCTTTCAGTCCCTTCAAAACATCCTGCTTCCTTCCACAGAAGACCTGTAAATAAGCTGTTCCCTTTGTAGGAAGCATACTATTCAACCCTACTCCTTTTGTTCAATCTTTGTATGTCAGCTCAACAAATATCGTCAAGACATAAGACTACATCATATTCTCCTGCTATACATGCTCTTCTGTTCCTTGTACTTCTTCAGCAGTTATGTTCTATAAGTATTTATTTGTGGAAATGGTTCTTTAACATGTATCTCCCAGATTGGAAGAAGACATTGTCAGGGATAGCCATCACCAACACATTTCACATGGTGCATGCTACCATATAACTTGTGTATACAGTGGGTATTTACATCTATAATTATGTTCCTATATAACATCTTTTGGCAGATTTTGGGTTCCTGGTTATTGATAATTAGAAGTTTATCACTCACTCATCTGAAATACGACTTCAGTTAATGGTTCAAATACAGATAAAATAGAAAAAAATACCATTACTTCTTTTTCACATAAAATGAATCTGCATAAAATAAAAGACCTCAAAATCTCATATCTTAGAGTTACACTTAGGAAATCAGAAGTATTTAAGTGTATTTTTATAGAGTCGGCTTAGTTATGAGCTACTGCAGTGTTGTTGATAGATGAGTGTCCAACTCTCCTGTTACTTGAGAATTCCAAGAAAGGGCTTGAGAATTTGTCTCAGAATTCTGTAGTTAGCAACTATTACAGCATGAGAAAACTGCTCTGTCCAGGACAGTGTCATGTACACGACAGCTGCCAAGTGTTTACTGAACTGACTAATTCATATTTGAATAACTAAAACAAAAACAAAACTTTTAAACATACTACTTACCAGCCCTTAATGGCCTAGGAACACCTCCAACAAAAATTGTTTTTCGGGGATCCAAAGGCTGAGAACCATCCATCACAAAATCACTATCACTTAAATTCCAAGGACGAATTTGAACCTACGAAGAGAATTCCCTCGATGACTTATAGATTTTTAATTTTTAAAAATTTATTTTACCACTTAACAGTTGTTTAAAAATTACTTAAACTTAATAAATTCTAAATATTTATAGTTGAATTTGGAAACAAATTATAATTGTAACTTTGATCTAGATACTATAAATGTTCTGGATGTTTTAAAAATGGAACTCTTGCCGGGCTCGGTGGCTCAGCCTGTAATCCCGTGCCTTTGGGAGGCTGAGGTGAGTGGACTGCCTGAGCCCGCGGGTTCAAGACCTGCCTAGGCAACTTGGCGAGACTTCATCTCCACAATAAATTTAAAAAAATTAGCTGGGCATGGTAGCGCACGCCTGTAGTTCCAGCTACTTGGAAGGCTAAGGCGGAAGGATCGCCGGAGCTCAGCAGGTCAAGGCTGCGGTGGCCAGGAGCGGCTACTGCACTCCAGTCTGGGTGACACAGGGAGACTCCAACTCAAAAAAAAAAAAAAAAAGGAACTCTTAACTCAGTAGTTTAATTGTTCTTTTTTTCATTAACAATGATTTTAGAAAAGTTTTTGGATAACTTGCATTTGTAGCCTAAAGGTCACATGGTGCTTACTTACTGGTTTGTCCTTGATAGTAGGGCTGGAAACACACAGATAGAGCTTCCCATCTTCTTCAATACAAGCATCAATTAGTGCCTGAACTGAGCTCTCTTCTTGAAAGAGAAGGAATGCATAGCCTGGAATAATCATGAAAAATGAGGAAATATGCCAAAGTAAGTGATTTCATTCCAAATTTCAGTACTATTCAGAAAACACATGCTTTTGAAAAAAAAAAACCTATCAAATAGGACTAAAATCATTATACCTTCTAAAGGAGAACACAGTATCTGTGGTAGTACACACTAAAACAGATGTTACTTGCTACTTTATATAGATAATTTGCTATCAGGTATTGTATTAAGAACTTCACATGCATTGTTTCATTTGATTCTCACAAGTCTATGAAACATTACTCCCATTTTACAGAAGAAAAAATTGAGGTACCAAGAGGTTAAATTACTTGTCCAAAGTCAGTCTCACAGTAAGTAGTTGGTTGAACAATTTCATACCCAGGTCAGTCCCAAGATCTCCCATGCCATGTGTAGTAGTGAGTAGTGATACTGACTTCTTAAAGAACTCGCCAGAATTAAACAGTTGGGGCTAGTTTCCTACAAATGCCCCCAGGGTAGTACAAATTCTAGAGCATAATTCTGGACTAGAGCACAGTTGGAAATGTCTAGGAAATTCCTAAGTAGAGGGAAAATTCCACAGTGCCACAAAAACTTCCAAATAATACAAAGAAAACTACCCTAGGGAAGTTGGAATATAAAGCATGTTTCTTAATAGATCATGGGTCAGATGAATCAGAACTTTTAAATCAAGTCTCAATTTGGATGAAAAGTAGAATACTTTTTATATAGACTGTGTGGGGTCTATATTTGGACTTGTTAACCAACAATCAAACTTTAACCAACTGCCAGTCTTTAATTAAAAAATCATGTATCCAGCAGACAGAATTCATTATAAAAAGAAGGCATCACAATTTATTCTAGTTATGTGATTATTCCCAGTAGCTAATAACTATAAATGACTTAAAAATATCCCTTGCCCTGACAAGAATTCTATGTAAATAAATGTATAAACTGTACAGCATTGTAATCTACTCCAATATGAAGCAGACAACAAGAAGTCTATGCATGTCTCTTCCACAATTCAATGGGAAATGAGAGGCTACATTTCACTCAGAGTTCAATAGAGCTTGTTGTCGACAATGGCTTTTATGTCACAAAGATCTGAAGTAACACAAAAATACCTGAAGTCATCAAATCAACCTTCACAAATAGAAACTTACAAAGATAAGTTCACAGAAGATTAAAAACACATCTTAGGCTTTTTAAATTGCTAGAAGCAATTTAAATATGCTTGACAAAAATGAAGACTTTCTAAAAAAACTTTAATTTTGATATAAACTAAGGATCTGAGAACTATAACTATTTTGTATAATTAAGAGGCTGTAATACCAATATACTAAAATAGTAACTTAAATTTACTATTTCAAATATTGCTTAATTAATTTTTGTTATTGGGAAATAAATGTTTGTATTATAAAAATTAGTAGTATTTGAAACATTGAATTTCAATATTCAGTAGTGATTCAATATTCATAGTAGGTCATAGTGAGCGACTATAACCTAGCTAATGCATGTGGTTAGATATTAAAATACCCTTATCAAAACCATACTATATAATAGTTTCTTTGGAATTTATTGAAGCAAGCTAATAATCGCATAAAATGAATGTTATTCATTGCAAAGAAAACATACAGACGTGTGGCTCAGTGTCTAAGGGCTCAAGTCACTGCTTTAATTAAAAGGTAGCTTCACCCACTGGATGCTTCTATACCAGTGTTTTCCACTGGCATAGAAAATGCTGAATTAAAAAACTGACAAAATTGCGGAAAAGAACAAGGCTTGGGAACACTGGTCTTGGCAATAGCTACAATTAACTATAAGTACACAAAACAAACAAACAACAAAACACCTAAGAATTGTGATTGTAATTTTTTTCTAGTTTGAGAAAATACTGCAAAACCATAATAACAATAATAACAACAGCAGCAGTAAGACAACTATTCTGTTTCATTAGATTTGTTTCAAACACATTGTTCTAGGCTTAGAGTACACCAGCCCATCAACTGAACAAGTGGCTCATGCAAAAATGTGTATCTGTTTCCACCCAAACCATTTATAATTCCTTTTTAAAATTATATTTCAATTCCTGCCTGGAATTCTGTCCAACTCCATTTTATCTATCTAAAACTTTTCAGTGAAGCTATCCCCCACCTACTTGAAGTCAAAGTAATTTCTCTATCCTATAGTATTTTTTGTTGTTTACATTATTTATAGGGTAATTATCAATCTGTGTATTATTAAGAATACAAATATTCACAAAGGTGAATAAAGACACAATAGATTACTGACAGGTAATTACATATTTCTAAAGTTGTAAAAATTTAATACTGCAACTGTGATGAGTACTGTGAAAGGAAGGACAGCAACTAGGAGCTGGGAGGGCCCACAGCAGAATGAGTTGACTTCCTCAGTTGGGTTCTCAAAGTTATCCAAGATCAACTTACACTTAAGCTGAAACACAAAAGATAAGCAGGGGATATACATATAACACAGGAAAGAACCTTCAGGCCAAGGAACTAACATACATAAAAATCCTGCGGCTGGAAAGAGCCAAGGTCAGTGTGTGGAACTGGAAGGAAACAAGAAGCAATAGCGGGAGAAAAAGCCAGGGAGACAGGGAGCCCAGGCAGGGTGAATGCACTTTTGACCTTATCTTAACAATAAGAGAAACCTCTAAAGGATCTAAACAAGGAAGGAAGGAATAGCACCATCCGAGGAGTTTTCAGAGACTGCTGTGGTTGGACCATGGGAGAAAACTGGAGCAGGCTAGAGATCCCGTAGCTGGACTAGAAGGACCAATGAAATAGTCCAGGCAAGAGATGACGGCAGCTTAGGCAGGAACATCAGATGCTAACAGGCATTTTTACAGAATACTCAAAGTCAATGTTATAAAAGGACAAGAAAGTAAATCTATGGGCAATATCAGCTTAAAACTAAGCTAACCGATGAACATTTCTATCTATATAAAGTTAATTTTCTCTCTAAACCCAGGGCTCATGACTTCCAATGAACTCCAGAATATATGGAAAGAGGTACATAGCTTTAATGAGATTCTCATTGAGGCCTGGGATCCAGAAGCCCTACTTAAAAAACATTCCTAATTTCATAAGTATAAAATCTTCAAGTATAAAAATAAACCACCATATTATTATATTTCTCTAAAAAAACTACATGAACTAGTACTAATGGATGTTCTACAATTTTCAATGACAAAAAGTAAAGATGACCCATATAATTCATCACTGGAAAGTCTTGGCTAGTTTTTGTATGCCAATGACTTCTCTATCTTTTCCCAGACTTAAAATGAGCTCATTTAACAGCTCTATTGGAGTTCTTCCTACAGGCTTGATAATTCACTCAGTTGTGAGAATAACAGAGAGAGAGAGAGAGAGAGAGAGAGAGAGAGAGCGCGCGCGCGCGCGCATGCATGTTCTTCTAAAATTATATTTCAATGATGTCAAAAGCAAAGTCTTAGTCTTTCAACCTCCTCCCTATGTTCATTCAGAGAATCTGCCATTGGCAATTCTGACTGAATTAATGTTCAACTCTCCTATCCCCTCTCTTTCTTATTGTGGACAGGGTTTATACTTCTACTTTCCACAGATGGTGACTTGATCATGTGACTTGCATGTGCAGATAGACAATTTGTGATTGCTGTCTACTGGTGGTCAGCTGTAGAGTTACCCTAGCAATAAGTGATTACCACAACTAAGTATCCTCTTCATATTTTACCTCTTTATATAACTGGGGGTTTAAAAAAATAGATCCGACCAGTCACTTTCTCCTCTATCTAAATTATTTATTCATCAACAGAGTTGGTAATGATTTATACTTCTCTGCTGTTATCTAGAGTACTTATATAAATCTTGGAATATTAAAACTGTTCATATTCATCTATTTTATGACATACAAATAAATCGCTTCACATAGGTCTTAATTTTTCTTCTTTTTTTTTTGAGTTGGAGTCTCACTCTGTCACCCAGACTGGAGTGCAGTGGCCGCTCCCGGCCACCACAGCCTCGACCTGCTGGGTTCCGGTGATCCTTCTGCCTCAGCCTTCCGAGTAGCCAGAATTACAGGCACGCGCTACCACGCCCAGCTGATTTTTTGGTTTATTGTAGAGATGAGGTCTTGCTGCCCAGGCGGGTCTCGAACCCGCGGGCTCAGGCAAGCCACTCACCTCAGCCTCCCAAAGGCACGGGATTATAGGCTGAGCCACTGAGCCCGGCAGGCCTTAATTTCATATGTTGATACCCAAGTTACTTAGAATGTTGCTTTAGACAGAGAAAATAAGCATGCATTGATTTGGGTCTGTGAAATCATTATCAAATCATAGCAAGTCTCTTATGATTCCTGAAGGCATAAAGTTAAACTTGGAATAGTTCACAGGACCATTCTGCCCCACCCAGTCTAGGTTACCAGCCTCTACAAATTATTCTATTCATTTTTAGAAAAACATGTGTTCATATTCAATTCTAAAAGAAAAGAAAGCACAAAGTAAGCAATTAATATTACTATCTCTTTTGCTCTCATAAAATCAATCTAGCAAATATTAGTAGTAAAAATCCTTACCTTTTGGTGGAAAATAAGACTTGCTTTCTGCTTTATGAGGCCAATCTACAACCAAAGGGCCAAATCTTCTGAAGCTAGCAGTTATTTCATCTTAAGAAAGTACAATGTTAATTAGAATGCATAATTTTAATGATTCATTCTAAAAAATTCTGTATTTTTAAAGTTACTTTGTACTTTTAAAGTTATTTTTAAAGTAACAAAAAAAAATTCTGTATTTTTAAAGTTACTTTAATACTTAAAAGTACTAAATATCCTAAGATAAATTATAATATAAACACTGGGACTATGTCTAATATACTTATTAAAATAATACATAAAATCTAACAATTATTTTAGTAAAGTTCATTTTTAAGCAGCACATTGGCTAGAAGAATCAATTCCATGTAAATTTTTAAAAGTTATATAACTGTTATATAACATACTAATGACTTTATAGCACACCAGACCACAAATATTACCGGCTTGAAAAAAATGCCAACATTATATCAAGTTAAATAAAAAGATCGATTACTGTTTCACAAGTAAAATTATGTTCTTGTAGGAAAAAATAAAAGGTCTTCCAAAACAAGAATAGCTATAATGCTGACAAAACATACTAGGGTCTGACACATACAAGGTTGTTTCACGGAAATGCCTTTAGGTGAAATCCAAGGGTATGTTCTAAATTCTTTCACTTCATGGAAATCTTATCATACAGATTAACACTTAGAAGATGTTTGTGGATATTTGAATCATAACTGAAGTATTTCCCAAAATGTGGCAATATCTTCTCTATTAATTGTGAATTAGTGACAGATTTCCTACAACCTTACCAAGATAGTTTTAGTATTTTAACCTTTATCATGAATTATTTCTTTTATTATTATTACACGTGATCATTTTCACATATGGTTATAAGTCTTTGTGTAATTTGAATTTCCTATTCCTATTCTGTCTTCATTTCCCTTTGAGGTTTAATAGCCTCTTTCTTACCTGTTTTAAGAGTGCATTTATCTTTAAAGAAATTAAACTTTTGATTGTCATGCATTGTAGATATAGTTTCACGACTGGTTCCATTTATTTCTCTCAGTGTGTGTGTGTGCATGTGTGCATGCATGTCATGCAAGGCAGTTACACACAGAGTTTTGAGTGTTATGTATTTAAATATGTCCCGCATTTTTTTTAAAAAGTGGAAAGTACTGAAAATCTTATTTATCCTGAAAATCTTTAGGAAGTAAAAAATTCCATATCCCATTCATGTTCTATTTCATTTTTTGTTTGTTTTTTGTTAAAACTCAAATCCCCAGCTTACCTTCATCAATATCTGGAGGCAGACCACCTACAAAAACTTTTCGAGAGAAGCGTTCTATTCGCTCTCCATTTTGATGTGCTGAATAACATGTGGGTGAATTTAAAACACCAACTTGATCACTGTGACCATCATCTAGTAAGCCATCATCTATTGGAAAGAGGGAAGAACGACCTAAAATACAAGAACAAACATAACTTGAATCTCAGGATTAAGAAAGTGATAAATTAAAGCCAAGCATAATAATAGCAATGACAAATTATAAGACTTAAAAAAATCAAAATGATGCAGGTATAAAAACAAATTAAGGGAAATTCAGATAGTATCTGGTTTTAATTACCCAGATTCAAGAGAGAAGTATGACTTAGAAATCCACAGAGTCAACAATTAAACTGCCAAAGTAACATTAAATCATTTCTTTTTTTTTTTTTTT